CAAACGTTCTGGAAAATATTAGCGTTTCGTGTTCGTTTTGACTTCGTGTGGACGGGGCCTTAAACTCTGTTATAAACTCTTTAAGATGCCTCTACTTTTAGAATTGATTTCCATCCCCTTATATGAACAAGCCGAATGCTTCCTAGTCAATTTTCTGACAGAACAATTGTGGAGCCGTTTTATTAAAATGACAGGATGTATGTTTAAGCATGGTGGTAGCCGCATCATGCTCTGAGGGGGTGTTTTTAAAGCAACCCTCGAGTTCTTTACAAAAAGTGGGTGGAATAATGAAAACTGCTTCCAAACTTCACCTTCAACCCCTATAGCTGGTAATAGATCTGTCCAAATCAGATATTAATATATGAAATGACTCTGAGGTGGCATCAGCTCTCCTCTACCCTGGTGTCTGCTGGGCCCCTGGCAGCGCAGGGCGGGACAGAAAGAGGCTGAACAAACTAGTAAGAACGGCCACTTCTGTCCTAGGCTGCACTCTGGACTCAGTTGAGGTAGTGGCTGAGAGGAGGATGTCCAGGCTTACATCCATCATGGACAACTCTGCACCAGACAGTAGAGGAGCTGAGCAGCTCCTTTAATGAAAGACTTTTACACCCTGTTTGTAAAAAGGAGAGCTACCGCAGGTCATTCATCCCTGCTGCAACCAGACTCTACAATGGCACTAACTTGTGCAATGTGTAATGTGCAATTTACCATTTGATGCCCTGTGCAATGTTTCTCTATATTTGACACCCAGTGTAATAACTATTCATATAGATATCAATATCCATCTACATAAATACCCATGTAAACACCCTGTGCAATAACCCAGTATAATGATCCTACTATATTAAATAAAAGCTGTGGACGCACTGTATATACTGTATATATCCCATCCTCCTTTTTCTTCCTTTGGCACCTTCTTCTATTACTATTTCAGCTGATGTAGTGAGTACATTTCTCCACTATGAGATCAATAAAGTCAATCAACCAATAAATCAATCAATTGGAAATCGTTTTTTTAGGTGACAAAAAAAAAAAAAACGAAACTTCAGAATATCGGCCTGCTTCTAAAACCTTCAAAATCAGAAAACTCATAAACACTTTGCTTCTATCTGCTGTTCTTTGGTGAATAAGAAATGGGTCAGTTGTTCTCATACCTGATGCTCTATTGTTCTCTGATTGAGAACTATCCCTGGATAAAACATTATCTATCATTCCACAATATAAATTAGTTATAACAGTATGTATAAATAATGATTATTGGTAGGGATGCACGATATTGGGATTTTGGCCGATATCCGATATGCCGATATTTTAAAACTCATGTAGCCGATAACCGATACTGATACC